TGAATAATATAGTGTAGGACCATACCTATATAAGGCATATTTATACTTTTTATTTTTCAAAATACCAAACAGATCATGCATTTTAGCCATTCCTCATTTCGCTCAATTTAACACTGTCTTTGCATGGGCTGATTCTGTGAGAACAGCACCATCTACAGGCCAGGCATATGTACTACATCGTCTCCAGCGCTTTCGAACGGCAATGTCCGTGGCTGTCTCCTCCTGATTGGTGGACGATGTAGTACATATGCCTGGCCTGTAGATGGTGCTGTTCTCACAGAANTTTTTATTACACATTTTAGTACGATTGGACACGTGGTGATGGGATAGCTGTTCAAAGAAAGTTGATACGGGCTGCAGGAACGCTGCTGGAGGCATAAATAGTAAGAACTTACTTGGATTACATTAGTTGTGATAATGCCCTTTGACAGTAAACAATGTTTTTCGCAAACCAAGTCCCTGCTTCAATGCAGGCATTGAGGTCACAAAATGTTGCTCCTGCATTTCTAATAGTTAGGAATTGTTCCTTACCTGTGGAAATGAGTACGGCGCCGGGGCAACAGAGCGATCTCCTCCTCTGTCAGCTGCTGCACCCACAAAACTCTTGGCAAAGTCCAACAGCCGCACTCCACTAAGTTCATCGCACCTTAGAGGAACGGGAGAGAGACATAGAACAGAGGGGCAGCAAAAAAAGACAGAGAGATTTTCAATTACATCTTAATTCCGGGTCACTCCAATGTGCTTGCAAACCAAATAGCACTCTGAGGTAGAGGATTTTCCATTTATTTCATTTGCATAAGTAATAAATGCTTACCTAAGAGCCTTAACATCTGCATGCCGCGTACTCCCTTTCAAAGAGCCAGTGTTGTTGAGAGGTGAAGGCCCTGCACATACCGCACCAAACTACCTCCATAACAACCTGAAGAACAACAGAGATCATTCGAAGCTGATATAATGACAAAATGCACATTAAATAATATGCAGACTTCACGTACAATGTTCTCCGACCCATTATCGTCAGTCGACATCTTTAAAACTCACCTATTGAGCAGGGAGAATCTGGCCGTTCTGCCTCAGGCTCCATGAACCCCGGATGCAGCTTCTGGCAAACTCCCCACCACAGACTGGAGGCATGGGATCTGAATGCAACACTGGCTGCCACAGCACTCCCGGGGCTAGAAACAAACCACCCAGGTTCTCAAAACATGTTCTGTATTTATTGTTTTTAATCATGCCAGTAAATGAAGCTTCGTCCCACACACTTATCAGTTGTGATGCTATGACTACTGTGGCCAGAAGGTTATTTTCATTGTGAACGGTCAAGAGACACACTGAAAGTTTATTTAAATGACCCTAATGGAAATAGCTTTCTGGGTTTTTCAGATCATATTTTTCTTAGTTACTAGTATTGCTGAAAGGCACAAAAAAGTCAAATACATGACAGAACGAGGAGAAAGGAATAGACATTTCATTAATTTACTTAAAGAAGTAGTATGGGATTTGAAAAACAAATGTAGGGCACTTCTTGTACATCTGAGATTGATCACATCAAATCTCACACTGCACCCTGGGAACATTTTGACCTCTTCGTAGGAGTGTGTCTGCCGGCTAGGCTCTGCAGGCCTCCTCTTTGGGGAGTGGTGAGCGGGACGGGCGTGCGGCCAGTGAAGCTTGGAGGTATTCTGAGCAGGAACGGTTCGGAAGAGAGGAGTGTTCATTTATTCATTTAATTTCTGTATCGTTCTACATTGAACTCTGTGTTTAAAGCATGGGTGGGCACTCAACAAGTGGTTTCTGCAATGTAGGGATGCTTAAATATTGTTTTAATGAATCAGAATAATCCCCAATTTATTGATTAACTGGATCATTGACCTAAAGCGCCAAAAACAAAATTATTGTACCAATTTTAAATGCATTTGTTACGAGTAGTTCTTCTTCCCCCAAATCCAATTAAAAATATTCCTATAATGTCCTTTACCATTACGATACAATAAAAAACATTGTGCCGCCCTAGTAATTAAATATTGATATATATCCACCATATGTTGGAACAAGGCCTTAGGAGAAGATGAAAAAGCTATTGTCTTAATGAAATCCCCATACTTGCTTAATTTAACATCTCCTTGGATATGAGTTAATCCTAAAACCTTAACTCATTCCTAACCATGTTTTTAACATTATTGACAGCTTGTTTTCGCCTGGGGCACAGTGTGTTTGATTTAGGTTTTAGAATATAAAAAAGGTCTAAATAGAGTGCAGTCTTAAACCCAAGCTCGTCCCAATGCTGACGTTGGGGTCCCAGCTGAATGCCCTGGTAGCCGGCTATAGCTGACATCAAGGTTGGGGCACTCTGGCGTCAGGTCTTATATCACCCGGCTTCCTGCTTTAATTGGCTTCTTTTATCCCCGACAGTACCAGCCCTGACTGATCCGGAGACGGTGTGGTAGTTCTATCTGCATTATGTATCCTCCCTGGGACTACGGCTCCCGTTAATCATGGCTCACCTTGTTTGGGTCAGCTCCTCCATAATGACGTGGACCATTGGCATAGGTTGCTCCCAATTACTCATTTGGGATTAAGTGTGGACAGTTTCCGTTGGTTAAGCTGTTGAGGTAACTCTTGTGCAGATTTTTTCTTCTGCCTCGCCTTGGTTTGCTGCTGCCGCTCCAATCAGCATTGCCGAGGCTGGTGTCTTCTGCATCCTTGATATCAGGCTTGCTGCTGCTCTTGACAATGCGGCCAATATCTTTACCTGCTGGTGCGGGTGGGATAGACAAATAAAAGGGTGAATGTATTTATTACAACAAGAAAAAAACTGTCATCAATCTTCAGCTTCTTCAGTAGAGTTTAGGGGGCAGGTAAGAGAGGGTGGACAGACGGGTAAGGGGAGAGCGAGTGGGGGAAGTATTAGCGGTCTGTATATTAAGTTAGACCTCTTGTTAATTGTGCATTCGCAGGGCTGCAGACCCGACCAAGCGGGCTGAGGAATAGCCTGCTATTTGTTTTTATAAACCACTCGGGTCCTACTTCATATAGTTTTAGTAATAAGCGCTAAAGGTGTCTTTCTCAAATATGGTTTACGCTACTGCTGTTTCACGATTTAATGCTTACCCTGAAGATAGCGAGAAAGGTGTGTGGACAGTTTTTTCTTGTTGTGTAATCTTTCCCGCCTTTCTTTGATCTCCCCGGCACAGCGGTTAGAAGTTTGGCCGCATTTCAGAATGGATAGGGCAGCGTGGTACAGAGCGCTGTATGGCAGAGGGGGCAGAGCACCAGGGGCTCGGCTGGCTGTGTGGAGCGGGCAAGACCAGGGTGCAGACAGGCTCGAGTAGGAAGCCTCGGCCACGAGTTTACCTCGACCACTAACCACGGGGACTGTCCACCCCTTACCATGAGATGGGGTGCCCACCTAGCCATTATGGTCTACGTCATGGAGCGGCCCCAAGGGTGGCCATGTTTACACGGAGGCGCGTAGTCCAGGGGATATACTGGATTAGTATCCACCCACTCTCCGAACTCAGCAGCTGGACCATGTCGGCATGAAGCCATTAAGGCAGGAGCCTGGGTGTATGACGCTGACGCGGTGCCCATACCTGTTCAGCTCATGCGGGCACCCAGGACATTCACTGGGACCCCAGACAACGCCAGCATGGGAAACTTCGTAATATGTATGCTAATACGTAAGTTTATTACGTTATTAGCTTTTTTATATTCTAAAACCTAAAATCAAAACACAACTGGGCACCCAGGCTAAAACAGCTGTCATATTAATGTATAAAAACATGTTAGGAATGAGTTAAGGTTTAGGATTCAACTCATATCCAAGAGAATGTTAAATTAGGAAGTAAATGTGGATTTCATTAAGACAATAGTTTATTCATCTTCCTCTAAGCTTTCAACATATGGGGAATATATCATATTTATTACTAGGGCGGCACAATGTATTTTTTGTATCGTCATGGTGAAAGACATTATAGGATATATTTTAATTGGTATTTGGAAGAGACTACTCGTACAAAACTGCATTTAAAATTGTAACAATAATTTGTTTTGGTTTAGTTCAATATCCAATTTACTCAATAAATTGGGGTTAAATTTGATTCATTAAAACAAATATTTAAAGCAATCCTACAATTTGCAGAAAACTCACTTGTTGAGCTGGCCCCACCCATGCTTTAAACCACAGAGTCAAATGTAGAACGATACAGAAATAAATGAATAAATGAACAATCCTCTCTTCCAGACCGTATTGCTCAGAATATCATCAAGTCTCACCTGGAGACGTGTCAGTACACAACAGAGGAGCTGCAGCAGCTAGCCTGGCAGACACACTCCTACGAAGAGGTCAAAATGTTCCAGGGCAAGGTGAGCTTTGATGTGATCACATCTTCATGTACAGACTGTGCCTACATTTGTTTTTTACAATGCACCATGTAACTATCTTCTTATTAAGTAAATTAATGAAATGTTCCTATTCCTTTCCTCGTTCTGTCATGTATTTGACTTTTTTGTGCCTTCAGCAATACTAGTAAAATGAAAAATTATGATTGAAAAACCCAGAAAAGCTATTTCATTAGTGGTCATTTAAATACATTTCAGTGTGTCCTCTTTGATCCGTTCACATGAAAATTAAACACTTCTGGCCACAGTAGTCATAGCATCAACAAACTGATAAGTGTGTGAGAGAAGTTCATTTACTGGCATGAATTAAACCACATAAGTACAGAACATGTCATTTGAACCTGGGTGTGTTTGTTTCTAGCCCCGGGACGTGCTGTGGCAGCAGTGTGCCATCCAGATCACCCATGCCATCCAGTATGTGGTGGAGTTTGCAAAGCGCATCTCGGGGTTCATGGAGCTGTGCCAGAACGACCAGATCCTCCTGCTCAAGTCAGGTGAGTTAAGATGTCGACTGACGATAATGGGTCCGGGACATTGTCACGTTAAAAGTCTGACACTTTATTTAATGTGCCATTTTGTCATTATATCAGCTTCAAATGATCTCTGTTGTTCTTCCAGGTTGTTTGGAGGTAGTCTTGGTGCGGATGTGCAGGGCATTCAACCCTCTCAACAACACTGTGCTCTTTGAAGGGAAGTACGGCGGCATGCAGATGTTCAAAGCTCTAGGTAAGATATTAATACTTATGCAAATGGAAATTAAATGGAAAAATCCTCTACCCTCAGAGTTATTTTTGGTTTGCAGCACATGCGTGACCGGAATAAGAGTAATGAAAATCTCTCTCTTTTTTTGTCTGCCCTTCTCTGTCCTCTTCTCCGCGTTTCCCTCTAAGGTTGCGATGACTTAGTGAGTGCCGTGTTTGACTTTGCCAAGAGTTTGTGTGCACTGCAGCTGACAGAGGAGGAGATCGCTCTGTTCTCGGCAGCCGTACTCATTTCCACAGGTCAGTGCACATTCCCTAATATTATTATAATGCAGGAAGCAACATTTGTGAACCTCAATGCCTGCATTGAAGCAAGGGACTTGGTATTGAGAAAAACATTGATTACTGTCAAAGGGCATTATCACAAGCAATTAACTCCAAGTAGTTCTACTATTTATGTCCAGCAGCTTCTGAGCCGTATCAACTTTTTGAACAGCTATCCATCATCACGTGTCTAATCGTACTAAATGTTGTATTAAAAAAATTCAACACTTCTTTCCTTTTTCATACTCAGATCGGCCTTGGTTGATGGAGCCTCGGAAAGTCCAGAAGCTCCAGGAGAAGATTTACTTTGCTCTGCAGCACATTATGCAGAAGAACCACATGGACGAAGATGCACTGGCAAAGGTAGGCCATCCATGTGGCAATGAGAAGAGAACAAAACCCATCAATGCTTCTGATGCTGGTTGCAGTTAATCCAAATGTTCTTGTCCATGACCTTCTCTCTCTTGTGTTGCAGCTGATCAGCCGAATTCCAACGTTGTCAGCCCTGTGCACGCTCCACACCGAGGAGCTCCAGGCCTTCCAGCAGCTCCACCCAGAAACAGTCAACGTCCTATTCCCTCCGCTCTACAAAGAACTGTTCAACCCTGACCCCAACTCTGGGGTCATGGCCATGCCCAAGTGACTGCCTGTGGTCCCAATGCAAGAAACGGCATCAGCGGAGGACCAACAAAATGAGAAGACAGACACGTCTGACGAGACGTCATCAGCCATGGCGACTATGTCCTCATCGTGGCAATCACATATTCCTGAGCTCCCTAAGCCTCATTACGAGCAGGGGGGTGAGGAGCTACCTGCCAGGAACTCACAGTTACCGCCAACAATACTAGGAATGTCCAGCACTTATTCCATCCTGTTCACCGATACAGTCTGAAGAATGTATATATAAATGAAACGCGCCCCAAGCCACAATTTAAGTGGGGCTTCCTCCCGTCTCCTGAACTGACTGACTGACCAGAAATGTACAGACTTTAAAACATCTAGGAACAATTTTAACCTGTCAATCTTTAAAAAAAAATGGGTAAGTTAATTTGTTTTACCTTTGAAAAAAATCCTTTTGGTTTGTTCTTTTATTTTCGAGTGAAGAATTGTGACGCTGGACGGGGGAGGGACCTGTGGATTTAGAGAAGCTATTGTAGATATTCTTCTAGTGCAGAGCGGATTCCAGTATTACTTCGTGTTCTGTTCAAATAAGTTAGTCCTAATTTAACTATACAGCAGTCCACTGTGGCTGACTATACCTTGTCTATGTGTTTTTATTTTATTTGATAGTTTCTTGTGTACAGAATTTGTAAAGTTGAGACTTGTAAAAGAATATTGGGTAAAACCAGGAGACGATTCGGATTGTGTTGATATATAGAAGCCTTGTCTGGATTTTGTTCATATGTAAAGAAGGTACTGCATCCTTCTGATGAGAACTTATAGAAATGTAAAGAGAGCATATGAAGGATTTAAAAAGAAAAATAATGGCTATTACTTTTCAAGGTGAAGATATATACATAAATATTCTATTTTGCAAGAAAAAATAATCTGGCAGTTTTGCCATCCTATCAATCATTTTCTTCTCGCTGCAATAATTACGTCCAATGAAAGATGGACTGCTTTCGAACAATCAACCAGAAACAACCAATCAGAAACTAGGACCTCACAATCAACCCCACCCTTTCCCAAATTCCCCTTACCCCGCCCCTTATTTCTTATGTATTACGTCCGTGACATAAGATTTCAGCCAATAGAAGTGGCTAGAAATCACAATGAAGAAGTGGATAGAAGTTCCACCAAAAAAATAAGACAAGCTTGAATTCAACTTTTCAATCTTAAAAAAACCTGTATGAGTGCTGGATGCCCTCCAATCACTATTTGCACAAATCAGTCCGTGGATGTCAATCACTTCGGCCTGAGAGTATGAAGGACCCTTTTTTCTCTAAAGAGCAATAATAACTTTCCACTGCCTTTCTGATCCCTCCTTTTCCTTCTCTTCCTATTTCCAGCTGTTCAAAACAGGGTAGCAGTTTTAAATAGATTGCACTATATTTGGTCCTTTATTATGTTATAATCATCTTTATTGATGTTACTCATTCCACCGCAGCATCTGCAGTGTTTTTAATGTGACGTAACAGGATCTGGGGTTAGGACACAACGCAGAGCACTGAAAATGAAATATGTGAAGAAATGAAGATTAGCCTCCGAGGATCTTTAACACTTTAAATGCTGCAATATTACATTGACGATTCACACAGACGGTTGAGATAGACAATCACTTTTCTGCTTTTCTTTTAGTCATTCCATAATTATTAGCACTTACACATTTTCGCAGATTTTTCTATATTAATGTTCGGTTGACTTTGATTTGGCCACTGTGTAAAATCTGGGTATTTATCACTGTCTTTTGCATTTCTCTATATGCTTACTTTTGTATAGAGATCTATGATGCGCTACAGAAAATCTCCTAAAACAAACTCCCCTTAAAAATAGCTATTTACCAAAATAAGTGACCCGTTATAAAATAAAAGCACAGCATTAATCAGCTGATTGCGCTTTTACAGAACATTTACTTGTTTGATATAATGACAATTTTGCCAAGAGGATTATCTCATTCTAAGACAGAACTTAGATTTTTAATTTAACTTTAATAATTATGATTAGTGGACAATGATCTATTGTTGTTCGTGCACTAAAGGTGGAGATATGATTTGTCTGTGGTTGCAAATACGCAGTGGCCAAATCAGTCAATGTGCTTTAAGCACAGTTATCCTTTTTATTAACATTAAAAACACTTGAACATTACCCTTTGCATCCTTAGATATCCATATAGTCAACATAACGAGGTTGACCGCATGGGGAGCGTCAATGTAAAACATTTGTGATCAGCTCAGATCCATTCACAGGATCCTTCCTCCGACCCCTGACCCGACCCCAGATCAGAGGCCAGTGACTCTTAAGACAATCACTTGCTCATTAAGGCTCGATGCACTACTGCATCTCTCAGGGAGCAGCTCTTTTTCTGTCTTTGCATTAAAAGAGGGTTGAATATTTTTGCAAATTTACAAAAGAATATGTAATTATAAAATGAAACTTTTTAGGATAAGAAATGGCATACGCCGCCAAAGTATGCTGGCAATGGAATCTGCCCAGACAAGGCTTTGCTAAGTGTGTGTCTGTGTGTATGTGTGTATAGAGCATGAATTCACTGTCCAAGTCTCTTTAGAGCCCAGACTATATGACAAGCATTGTTACGTAGCACATGAAGAATAACAAAAAAAAATGTTTACTGCTTATTTTGCTGCTTTTGGGACATTGAGGGAAGTCCACTGGTAAGCTGTGAATCAAGCGCCATCACAACACCCCGGGACAGTGAATTCCAACTCTGATGATGAAGTTTATTGTGTATGACGCTTTTATTTTCCCTTGTTAGACTGTGAATCAGAGGGGTGGGATGGGGTTATGAGAGGGGAAGTGCTGGCAAGAAAGAGTGGCAACGAAACACTGTAAGTAAGAAACTGTAGCAATAAGAACTGGAGGCATTTACTACTGTCATGTTTGCATTGTAAGATTATTTTTTATTTTATTACTATTTACTATTATTATTGTTCTTATTATGACTACTATTCTTCTATTACTATTAGCCTATTGTTGTTCTGTTCTATTTGCATGACGTTTCACTGCAATGAAACATTTGGGGCTTATTTGTGTTTTCTCTTCTCATGATATTGTTAGTTTCTTGGGAGGGGTTTTTCGGAAAGGGCGGCGCAGGAGAAATTCAGTCAGTTCAAAGCAGATTCCTTTCACAAGCTGGAAGATTTTTTTTAAATAAAATGCTCTTATTTATAAACGACCAATTTAAACTTTGTGGTTCGATTTGAAATGTTTTTTCTTTTCTCAACCGCTGAATGTGTGAGTTGGTTTAACCAGTGAGTGGCCCTTTCTGAACTGGCCTTTTTACACCGGATCAGAGACCCTTAACCTGCGGTGGGAGGGAACTATGTGGGCGGGAGGGGGGGTAAACTATTCTGAATGTTATGGAGTAGCCTGTTCAGTGTGAGGGGCTGAACGCATCACGCGCCTTTACCACTCCATCAACACAGAATGACATCGCAAATCGCACAATAAAACTAGTCGTCGTTTTAAGTGACGGCTCCGACAAATTGCGCAGACATTTTTAATACACCTGGTTTTAAATGAATTTCCTACACTTAATAAATACACTCCACCCCAAGCCTCCTCCTCCCTTTCCTGAGAAAACCTGTGAGAATGTGTGTGTGTGTGTGTGTGTGTGTGTGTGTGTGTGACAGAGAGAATGAGACGTTTGCTCTACCAATGCTTTGTAAACGTTCTCGATACATTACCCATGGGTGCAGTTGGAGTAGTGTTGAAAATTGTTAATTTATTGTTTAGAATGTCTTTGCATCCCAGCAAGAGCAAATAAAACAAAATGTAGCAAACTGTAACCGAAACCTAAAAGGTGCTTAGGCTACAGAACCTCTTTTACACAGGACTAACAAAACAAGACAAAAAAAACAACAATAAAATGCGACTTTTTTTTGTTTCAAAGTGCCATAGCTAGTGAGGAGAGGAAGGACTGGCAGAGTGGGGCGTAGATGCTTTACTGTGTGAGTTTACTTGAGAAACCAATCAAAAAAGGGGAACTACATGAAAAAGTGTATTTGATTACACTTACAGTTTTTACATTTTATGCTTTTTTTCATTTGGTAAGAGGGATCTCTGCTGGACTCTGAACTCTGACTCTACTTTTAATCCATCAGCTGTACTGTAATTTTTTTTATTTTCACATGAGAATGAAAGAGTGTGTCTAGGTGTGTGTGTGTGCATTTGCATTAAGTAGAGCCACAAACACCCACACTTGATGGATCAACGTGGGTTGAAGTTCAGAGTTATGCAGGGCCCTTACCGAGTCCTCCTTTGACATGTATATACAATGTGAAGGTCTGAAGTGATTTTTGTTAAATACTATATTTTATCGCTTTTGTAGACATTTTGTTGTGGGAAGAAAAAAAAATAAAAGAAATTTTATGGGTGCATTTCTGTCTTGTTTTTCTTTCACACAAACATTGTTGAATTTAAAGATTGTTTTATATTAACAAAATATGAAATCACTTTACCCATGGAAATGAATCAATCATGTATTAGTGTCTAAGCTATTACATTAATTGTATCAATATAAAAACATATTTATAGAAAAAATAGTGATTTAGACTTTTGTAAAAACATGTTATAACTGTATTATGATTGATTAAATACAGCTGAATGAAATAAACCCCTTTTTATAAGAACAATTGCAAAGATCCCTCCTGACAGTTTTTGCTTAATATATTTAAATAATATATTAGATCCTAATTTAATATCATCTCTAGAGTCCAGTCCCAGACTGCTCATGGTCCCTCTTCACTCGCGCTGTTTCCGCAGCAAAGAGATCAGGACTAACTCAGGCACACATTACGCAGGTCATAGATGTGTGTGTTCAGGCAGACATGTCGCGGTACACACATGTACATGTGTTGGTAAAAGTGCAAGTGTCTTTCTTTCCCTACTTCCTGGGTCAAAGGTTACATCCTAGTTTCATTGTCCTCTTGTTCTTCCCTCCGCGGCGTCGGCTCAGCCTCGCTGCTGTTCTCACGGCCGTCCAAACACTTCCTTAAATCTGAACAACAGAAACATCAGTTAGCGACATGTTGCTGCGCTAACACAGTCATTACCACAAGAAAGAGAATAATGACAGGCCTGGGAGGAAGTCCACGCATCCAGCATGAATAATTTGGTTTGATTTGTTGGAGAAATCTTGGAGAGGACACAAGAAGAGGAATAGGAAACGCAACGCACCTTTGAAATATCAAAACAACTGTGTCTGAATGTGTGTGTCTGTGTGTTTGTTTGCCGGGCTTGTTTGTTTTTGAGCACAGTTTCTTTCCGAGCAGTTATCCTCTAGATGCCGGTATCGTGCCTACCCAGAGACGTTAATTAATAGCTAATCAAAGCTAAAGTCTCAGCAGCACATCGCCAGCACAAAGACATGATTAATATGTAATCAAAGGCCGTGGAGCACAACGCACAAAGCAGGGCCCACCCCCATGCCTCAAACACTACTGTTGTTATAGAAATAAACGAACACTCGCGGCTTAATTAGCTGGCTGTTGGTGTGTTGTCTTCATTTGAAGTTGTCTGGGATTTATCTCAGAGCCAACTTGGCCTCCTGAGTGACGACACAGAGGTGACATACGAATACTTGCATATACAAACGTGCACAACAAAAAAACACAATGACATAAGAAATTCTATGTATACGCTGAGGAGTGCAAAACACATATTGGTTTACAAAAGAAAGCCTGCATTCTTCACATATTTGAACAATGAAAAAACACATTATTTGAGTGCTCTCTCACACACACAGTAACATTGAACATATCTGACCTGCTAGGCCCAGTCTGCGGCAGCAGGCACCGCAAGAGTGTCTCTGCAGGAAACCGCTGATGGCAGCATCTCCGAGGTTATCTGGACCAAAAAGCATCTCACCCCTGCTTCCACTGTTAAGAGGTCAGAAAAAACGGTTTTAACCATTTTACCAATATGACAAATTAGATTTGAATAAATAAAGGTGTCTGTCATTTATAACCTTGACATGCTGTACCTTTGATCATCCGACATAATGACTGTCGGGTCCGTCAGCTCCGCTCCTACTCCTGTCAAGGTAGAAATAAATAGGTAGGTAAATAAATAGATAAATAAAGACAGACAGATACAAACTAAACAACCCACATGCGTATAATAGTTTGAATAATTTGCACTCTGCAGCTGATTCCCTTAAAGATCTTTTTAAAGGGTTTCTCTAATCCGTGTTTTCTTTTGTGTGTCTGGTATGGATTCTATTGTATTTGTATTTTTATTAAAATTATACAGTGCTGATTTGTTGATGATCTGTATGTACAGTATGTGTATATGTGGTGTCTATAAGTGTGTCTGAGAGGGAGGGCTTTTATTTCAATTATAATGTTTATTATTGTGTATATATATATTGTGTATTGCACTTTTTGTATTAAAAACAAGTTGCATATATGGTTGCAGAATATGTCTTATAAATCTGCATTTGAGAGCAAAAATAAAAACCTGTATGAAGATAACAGGCCTTGCAGAAACACACACACACACACACATCAAAGGAATCTACCCTGTATGTCGAGCACCAGCAGCTCTCTGTTTGAGTACTCGTATGTCCAGTGTGAGAATGCCAGCAGCATTTCTTCCAGTGAACAGCAGGGGGTGATCTCCTCTCCTGTGTTGTTGTTGTACTTCCTGAAGTCACCTGTCATGTTCCTCTCAATAGTCAGCCACTGGCCATTGGATTGCCAGAGGACCAACGCTACATCTAGGAATCTGATGGGGAGAAAAGGCGATTAGTTCAAGCACAGATCATCACGTACACATAAAGGAGAGAAAACGCACCTTGGTGAGTGGTGCATGTCATCAGGTTTGACCTCGTTGAACTCTTGCATCATCTTCTGGGCTGCTCTCTGCTGCTGGATCTCCTTCAGGGATGTCAAACAGAGGTTGATCATGAAGTTGATGTGATAGAAAGCTATATGTCCCTCAACCCTCCCTTAGTTTACTTACTTAGTTAGTTATTGCTTAATGCCTGGAAGCTTGTGGGATCAAGTTGATGTTATTTGATCCCAAAAACACTCAAGGATTTAGACAAGATAGCCTAATGTTGCCGATTGAGATAACTTCACACTGCACCAAATACATAAAAAGGTCTGTCCTTTGGCTTTTATTAGGTTCGGTTCCTTGGAAAAAACTGTTAAATTCCCCAAAACTAGACTTTTCTATGGGATACTCCTTTGATAACGAATGTAATAGCGAACAAAATCTTATTTTCCCTGCATTCACTTAGCCGAACCTGAAACAATTTGAAGCCCCCTGAGGAGGCAATTCTCCCACAATGCAAACCTCTCCTTTAGGGGGTTTTAAAATTGTGAATCTGCAACTTAATAGGAGCAATCTTGCTGATTGGCGATGCCGTCGGCTAGTAAAAAGGTCATAAAGTATTCATTGCTTCCCTGCCTATGTGCACTTTACTTTTGTAGACACACTTACCCTTAAGCAAAGCAGCAGTGCTGTGCTACCATGGAAGATCCTCTGCCAGGCACGAACCACCTCCGGCCTGAAGGCTTTGACCACGTATACCAGGCCGGGTCTCAGCACGTCACGTTCAGCCCAGGTGCACAGCACCCTGCAGCCCTGCCGGAGACCCCCGTCCAGAGAGCCCTCTTCACTGGAGAGGGGCTGCAGCAGGGCGGACAGGCCGCGTGACGACCAGGACGAGACTGTGCCGGCATAAGGGTCAGCATCAGAGGGAACTTCCTCCAGAGAGTACACGCTCACCTCTTCAACTCCTGCAGAGAATATAAAAGAAACAGTGAATGGAAAGAGATGCCATCAACAGACATAAACAAAACACTGTGTCACCAAACAAAACACTTACCTAGAATAGAGACAGGAGTGAAGGGAATGGTGTGAGCCAGTCTCATCAGATTGTTTCTCTCCATAGCTGTCAACACACGAACAAAACATGGTCAAAACCAATACCTGTATAATTATTAATGAAATCTGAGACAAACAAATGTTCAAATAATAGGCTTTTAAGATTTAGAGTTCCAGAAAAATGTTGATAGCCATAATTAAACATACGTATTTTCTGCGTGGCATAATACCTGCATAGTGTGGATACAAATTGTCAGTGGACTGGAATGAGGAGCTCTTTGCTGCAGAAAACAAAACAAAAAAGGGAAATGAAAATACAAAAAAGGGTCTCACAATAACAAAAAAGGGTCTATTTATAGACATAGTCTATAGCATTGTATACAATCTTTATGTTTACAAATACCTTCAAGGGCAATCACGCTCTGTAAACTGTAACAAAGGAATAGAGAAAAAACATTTGATGTAGTTAATAAAATCTCATGAGTTTTGATGTGCATGGATGTTTCGGACAGTAAAAAGAAAAAAAGGAAGACTTACGAAGACATGCGGCTCATGGATCTGGCCCAGCTGTTCCATGCTGAATGGGTCGAGGTCCATGCATCCTGAAGGCCAAAGAAAACATCATTAACCCGATCTCATGACATTATACAATATATTTTCCTAATATCAATACAGTATGTTGCCAAAATGAGCCACGGATTTACCTGATGGGAAAAGACTTGCTTCTGCAACAAATCCATTGGTTCAAAATCTGAAACGATATTGATATATTCAATATCTAACAAGGTGAGTAACTTATACATTGGGCCTTTTATCGTGGTACTGTTTTCCATGCCTCTTTATTTGAGCGCTGGGTTGAATACATGATACATTCAGAGAGGCCTTGGTTTGGTAAACCAACAGGCTTTACTCATCTTCACATTCAGGTTCAATGGTATGACCTATGCTTAAAGGTGACCTATCATGCAACATGCACTTTGGTACGTCTTTTATACATGAATATGTGTCCCCGGTGTTCCAGGGAACTCACCAAGTGTCAGAAAACACAACCCTCTCTATTTTCCTCCATACCCAAATCTCTTAAAAAGGGGCTGCAGCGGATCTGATACAGA